GTGGGAAAATGGCGAAATGGGAAACTGGCGAAATGGGAAATGGCGAAATGGGAAATGGCGAAGTGGGAAAATGGCGAAATGGGAAGACACCGGGAAACTAGCGAAATGGGAAGACACCGTTCACACGAGGAAATGCGCGGTCCAAGAGATCCGGTATTTCTCAAGCACGGCAAATTATTCGGGGTCTGGGAAGCCGCGTATTTACATCAAATACCGGATCTGTTTAGATACCGTATTTCTTGGACCGCGCATTTTGCCTCGTGTGAACGCTAAATACCGGATTTCTTGCTAAGTGTGAACACGGCTATAAACGTTAAATGAAAAAAAAAACAATGCGTCTAAGCGAACAATGCGAAATAAACAATCAGTGCACGGCAACCAAAGATCGTATAGTGTCTCCGGCACTATACGATCTTTGACGGCAACTGCCGATAAAATACGTAGACTGGTCCGCGCTCGACAGTTCCACTCGCGTTACGCGGCTATAATAACGGGACATTTTTCAAGATGATAAAATGTTACTTTTATCAGATATATCAAGTATCTATATCAGACCTTTCCTAGCTAGCCTAGGCTAGGGCGTAAAGTTATATCTCATCTGTTATGTTCAAACATTGCATATTAGTATAAGTTTTGAAAAGTTGAATAGACTATGTCGATTATACTTACCCTTGGCGAAAGCATGCGAAATTCCCGTCGGCGCGGCATGTATGGAGCGTACGCAAAATAACGTGTAGTACCTACGTAAAGCTGTGTTTACACTGACGATTTTATGCAGGCAACTTGGCATTTTTCTTCTGTCCACCAACCTCTCTATAAATGTTCAAAGCGCTTACGTTATCGACCGAGAGGCGGCAAACGTTTCAACATTTGACCCGTAGCGTCCGCGCGGGGCGCGAATTTCCCCCCCCCCCTTGAGTTCCGGACCACAGCCAATCAGCGCGCTCCATTCACTCGACTTCCTCGAAGCAACAATGTAAAATCATTACCTCCTATCCCTCACCCTAACCCTAACACTAACACTAACCCTAACCCTAACTCTAACTATAATCCAACCATATAATTACAAAACACTATCTATGGTGGGTCCGGAACTGAAGTGGGAAAAAAAAATTTCGCGAGCGGGGCGATGCGGATATGCATCTTGCATACACTGACGATTTTATGAAGACAATTCGGCGTTTTTCTTCTTTCTACCTTCGCCAAACGCACCAAACGCACGTCACACCTAGAGCATCTACATGTATAGGAGGGTCCTCCCGCATCCGCCTTGTGCTAGGGATAGGTCGCACCTTGCGAACGGGCATCGCTTGCTTACCCAGCAAGGGTCTGGTTTTAGACAGACGAGTTTCTAAGAGCGGTTTTGAGCCTATATATATAGGCAGCATTTGCAGCAAACAAAATGGACAAGATATAAGATTTAGAGAGACTATGATATCAGTCAGAGAGCCTAGGCATGGTTTGCTATAGGCTGTATTATGTATATAATATTTTGTATGTGTAGTTAATAATAAAGTCTATGTGAAACTACTAATCCGTGACTACGTCTACGTCTACGTCTACTGTGGTTATCTCTGCTCTCTACGCTGCTGCTGTTAAACCTCTCTCACTGGTTATCTACGGGACAACGCTGTTACTCTACGCTGTCGCACGCGTCCATCCTACACGGAGATCTACAACCTTTCGCAGTACAACACGGCTTGCTATATAAGTTCAAAGCTCTTACGTTATCGACGCGAAGCGGCAAACGTTTCAACATTTGACCCGAATTGAAATTTTGCATGTATTCATGTCGCCATGCAGGTCTTGGGAAGGAATGAGTTTACATGACTTTTGCTGATGGGGGGGGGCGTCAGTTTACACGCAGATTTTCTTTAAACACCGATTTAGCGCGACACATGCGCCGATGACTTTTACCGCAACCGACAAATCGCGTTATAAGGGGCCACACTAGTATATATATATACATGTTATAAATAAATACATGGTATATAATAATGTAAAATATATATATATTATATATATATATTATATATATATAGCTATATATCAACTAAGAAAGCAAGGAGGCAACCCGAAGAGCTTATACAACGCACGCACGCACAGCACGCACGCCCGCACACAACACATACACACATGGCACGCAAACAACACACAGCAGCATGCACACACACCACACGCACACACACGCCACACAACACACACCGCGCGCGCGCGCACACGCCCACACTACATCACACATGTCAACACGACACGACACACACACACACCGCACGCCTACATACCACTGATCTCTATTATAGTACTAACACTGTGATACATACACACACTCAGGCACACGTGCCTGCTTACGCGCACACGCACAGTGCCACCGTCACGCGCACGCGCGCGTACTCATGATTGCTAATATACGTAAGTGAACGAATGACGTTATATGATGCACGATGTACACAGTGTGATATGCAGAGAAGCTCGCTCATCATTTGACTTGTTACTTTGAGGATATATGTTGTGTACATGACTGTATGAAGTCATTCCCATTGTTCGCTTGTTTATTATGCTTCGTTTATTTTTCGTTTCGTTTATTATTCGTTTATTATTATAACTCGTCGCAGCGATCGCAACGCCAGTGTATACGCGCATTACATACATTGTATAAGTCGACAATTTCGTAAGTCGACACAAATATGCTGGTCCCAAAAGTGTCGACTTATGCGAGTTTTACTGTATATCTCTTGATATATATCAATCAGGAGTCATATTTTATACTTTATATTTTTTTCACTTAGTGTAGTCGAGACAAGCACAAAATAATAATATTATAGAAGGGGCTTATAATTATGCAGAAGCACATGTATGTTCAAAAACCTGGGGGACATTTGATAGTGTGTTCCCCACCCTTCAAAAAGTGTGGGGACGTGTCCCCTGTGTCCTCATGGCATTTGCGTCTTAGACGCGTAATTTGAGACGAGAGAAATATACAGGTTTTAGTTATAAGGTTATTTATTCTATGGTTATTCGTTAGAATGCAATAACACAAATTTGCATAAACAGTAACTAATATATTCTGCGTAAAATATAAATTATACCAGGTGATAAATATCTTACCGGGTAATAAAAATGTCTACTCATGTTTCCGTATAAAAATAAAGAAACAACTAAACATGCGTGACGCAGAACATGACGATTCCCTATATACGTATATTTACAAGATAGCGGCATAGCCAATTACTTGGCATACTAAGTCACAGTTATTGTCTTAGCATATTAACTTGTACAATTTTATCAGATGAATGAGTGTCTTCGTTCTAACGTCTTTGTTAGACTAGCGGTTTGGTATCAGGGCGTCGGCTATGATGGCGTGTAACAGCAACAGCAACAGCAACGAATGCGACGATGACGATGATAAGGATCACAGCTAATGCGATACCGAAACCTATTGACTCATAGAAGAAGCTGTAACATAAAAATACATTACGATTTGAAAATATGCATTTTCGAGGTAAAGCGACAGCGAACGTGTGCTAAAAGATTAAATTTAAAAATTTAATAAATTAAACTTAAAAAGAATAAACTTAAGAGTTAATTAACGTAAGATTAACGTATTAAAACAATAGAAAATAGTTTATGCTACGTTGATTAAACATGGCTAATAGAACAACTATAGTTAATCGACCGATAACTAGATTAAATCATTAAACACATAAACGCGCGCGCGCACACACGCATGCACACACACAAT